CTCCATAAAACTCATGTCAAGAGACACAAGGGAAGAGAAGAATGCAGAACCCAGGAGCGAGGCTGGCCTCAGGGCTCTTCTCCACTGTTTTGATTCTCAGGAGCAGCTGAGACCCTCAGCCCGTCACAAAACCAGACAGACTCCAAGACTGGTGAGTGAGGAGATGCTCTCAGTTATGGGGCTGGCACAGAGGGCCAGGGACTGTCAAGGGGAGGTGGGTGCCCTGGGTGGACATCCAGGGGTCCCGGGGTGATTCTGACCTGCCGTGACCTCTGTGACCTCTTTGTCCACCACCCCTAGGCCAACACCCACAGGATTACACAGTGGAGAATCTCATCCGCATGGGCGTGGCTGGCTTGGTCCTGGTGGTCCTCGGGATTCTGCTATTTGAGGCTCAGCACAGCCAGAGAAGCCCCCAAGATGCAGCCGGCCGGTGAACAGCAGAGAGGACAATGCTCCCTTCAGAGTGGTGGAGCCTCAGGGACAGATCTGATGATCCCAGGAAGTTCTGGAGGACAATCTAGGACCTACATTATCTGAACTGTCTGCTGGTCACTTCTAGAGACAGGAATCCATATTTGAGTGCAGGGAAACTGTCTGGGGTGATTCCTAGAAGATCATTAAACTGTAATACATTTTTTTAACTATGAATGTTGACTCTCCTCGAATGGATCCCCCTTTTATCCCATCCCCAGACATGAGGCTCCATCCCACAAGGCAGCGTTGGGTCCACACCTCCGCACACCTGCATGCTCTGGTCCACGGCATGTAACACAGTCTTCCTTATTCCTCATTGTCACACTCCTTGATGTCCCTTACTGAGTCCCCATCTCTTCAGTTCAGAGATCCAAACCTGAACCACCAACTAGGTCAACGACAGATCAAATTCCAACCAGGTAAAGATAAATCCACTCTGATGCCCTGACAGCCTCTCTGCACCCTTCGAGCTCTTACCTCCTTCTCAGATGCTATGTGTGCAACTTTTCCTGAAATATCACCTCTTGGAATCATCACTCACACATTTCAAGTGACACCACAGCTATGCTGATTCTGAAAAAGACATCTTTAAAATGATATTATTGGTGGTATCTACCAATTTCTGTGACATAAATATTTCTTTTCATGGCCCAAATCAAGGTGCCATTGTCACTGAATGTAGGGTTGGGAAGTGAGTGACACAGGTGCCTTCACTAATGAGCACCAGGCACCTGTGGCACATCCCACTGAGAGCTCACTCATCTACCTACAGTCCTTTCTAATTCAGAGGCAATGATCACTTCGGCTTCAGTGTTATGGCACAGGCCAAATGAAACTCTGACACTGCTATCCTAGTATATCCACAAAAGACAAACATATTAATATCTGATGTGAGAGATAACACGGCTCACTTAAAAATCTAAGTACAACATAAGAAAGATGTTGACATAATTGTGCAGGTTCAATGAAAGAATGTTTTGTTCTTTTGTTTTGTTTTGTTTTGTTTTTGAGATGGAGTTTCGCTGTCACCCAGGCTGGAGAGCAAAGGCGCGATCTCAGCTCACTGAAACATCCCCCCTCCCAGGTTCAAGCGATTCTCCTGCCTCTGCCTCTCGAGTAATTGGACTACAGGTGTGCACCATTATTCCCGGCTAATCTTTGTATTTTTAGTAGAGATGGGAGGCTCACCATGTTAGTCAGGCTGGTCTTGAACTCCTGACCTCAGGTGATGCACCCGCCTCGGCCTCCCAAAGTGCTGGGAATACAGGTGTACACCACTGCACCTGGCCGATGGAAGAATTCTTAAATGACTTGTCCTGCTTTCTGCTGGTTCACACACTCCTTGGCTTGGGGCAGTGTTGCGCCAATTTCTGCCTCCATCTTCTCAGCCTCCGTCTACCTGGGTACCTCTGTATTTACACCCATTCTTCTCTGTGTGTCTCTTCTCTTCTTCAGATTATGATATCACTCAGATCAAATTAGGACCCATTCTAATTCATTATGATCTCTTGATCATGACTTAAATGCATTTGCAAAGACTCTATTTCCAACTATGTTCACATTTATAGCTAATGGAGCTCAGCATTTCAACATGTATATTAGAGGAACAAGTCAATTTACAGCAGTGTCTGCAAGAAAAGTACGCATAGAAATACATTTATCCAAATACAAAAAGTAGCTGGGCGTGGTGGTACACGCCTGCAAACCCAGCTACTCAGGAGTCTGAGGCAGCAGAATCGCTTCAACCCAGGAGGCAAAGGTTGCAGTGAGCTGAGATCGTGCCATGGCACTCCAGCCTGGGCAATAGAGTGAGACTCTGTCTCAAAAAAAAATGAGAAATACATTTAACCAAAGAGATGCAATAGATACACATTGACAATTTAAAACTACTGCTCAAAGAAATAACAAAAGACCTAAATAAGGAAAACGTAATCCCAGTATCATAAATCAAAAGGTGTAAGGTTAGTTCTGTCCCTCTTCCATGTCCTTCACCCTCCTCCGTTTTGACAAGGTTTATCATTAGGTATTCTTCAGGACGTCAGGAATTCAGATAAGATGCTCTCGAGAGAACACTTGCCCAGCAACGGCATTTCCTCCAAAGGACTGACGGCAACTCTGGCTTTGAACCTCTGGAACCAGGGAACTCTGTTTCTAGGCAGCTCTGTCAGCCTCTCCCTTGTTGCTGATAAGAACTTCCTTTACCTCTCTATGTACAGAGAGCTCTCTCTACAGTGCTTTTCCTCTACTCTCACATCACAGGAATCATCAACACAGAAGAAGACTTCTAGGACCAGATGTGTGGGATTTCTTTTCCCCCAGACCCAGTAGAGAACAGCAGCTGGGTGTCCTCTAAGTCAGCTCTGACGCTGTCTACCCAGAGACAGTCCCACATCTCACAGATTAAAGGCTAAGTCCCCAAGACTGTCCCCCACACCATTCCCAAGTGCAGACTTCCAGAACTTCTGATCGACTGGCTTCAAGTTGGGGATCCCATGACCCCCTCTTTGGGTTTGATTAATTTCCTGTAGCAGCTCACAGAACTCAGGGAAACACTGACATTTCCTGGTTGAATACAAAGCACACTGCAGAGGACACAGATGAAGAGACACATAGCAGGAGGCACGCAGGAAGGGGCGCTGGGCTTCCATGCCCTCCCTGGGCGCCACTTTCCAGGAGCTTCCACATGCTCAGCCGTCCAGAAACTCACGAAACCCAGTCCTCTTGGGCTTTTATGGAAGCTTCCTGATGTCAGCATCTCCTTCCACAAGGAACAGGGTGAGACCATCTTTTGAGAGGGTCTTAAGAGCCACCATCAGAAAGACAGGGAACATTCGAGTTGTGCCTTGGGCAGGTGAAGGAAGGGCAGGAGGAGGTCAGAGGCCCCCCCTAGGCCCAAAACAGCCAACATTCTAACAAAAGACTGTAACAAGCGCTATGGGAGTTATGAACCAGGAACCGTGGGTGAAAACCAGCATATATCCCAACATCACACTTCCCTCCCCGGATGCACTGTGGCTTGCCATGCCATGCACTCCAGATTGTAATCCTTGTTTCTCATTCCCAAATACACTCAAAATCCAGGCAACCCTGGAGCAACGCAACCTTGAATTCCTGGGGTCTCTTATGTGCACACGTTTTTCAAACAAATGGGGATCAGAACTATTGCATTTGTGAGAAGCAAAACTTGTGTATATGAACAGCGGGCTTTTCCTATATGCAGGTCCAGCAGAGACAATGTCAGGGCTGGAGTACCAGCAAGTTTTGTTACACGTAGCGGGTACTGAAATGAATTGCCTGTGTATCCCAAGAAACAACTGTACTGAGAGATCATATTCTCTAGGGGTTTATTTTTGTGTTTATTTTTATTTTAGGTTAAAGTTTTGGATAGAACACCCAATGTCTCCTTGTCCATCTGAAGAACATGCTGCTATGTGGAAGCACATCCTTGAGATCCACAAAGAGACACTGGGCAAGGAGACAAGGATGCCCCACTCTATGGAAGTCCCCCTAATAAATGCTCTATGAACACCCTGGTGTTTAGTGCTTCTTTCTATGGAATCCCAGCAGCTCTATCACTGGACGGTTTGGTGCACTCCTTTGAGGGAACTCCTCTGGGCTGCTTGGGGTCCACTCGAGCCTCAGGTGTGGCTGGAAGACGCAGCCTCCCACCTTGGTCTGGAGCCCTGAGCTCCTCACTGTGTTACAGATCCCGAGGCTCCTCTCCGGGCTCCACTCAGTGCGGAAACCTACACCCTAATGAGCCCTTGATGGTGCCGGGACCCTGTGGCATCTCACCTCTGGCCTCTGTTCTTTCTTGTGGATCCTTCTACACTCGGGGCTTCCACACGTCTTTTTCTGCTCATGATATTGATGCTCTGGGTATTTCAGAAATGCCTGATGTACATTTCTCCATTAGGGTCAGATGTGACATCTTAAGTGGACACATCAATCACCTACGTAGACTGTGGAGTCCAACACCAAGACCATCTCATGTCCCAAACACCTCAGGTCTTACCCTGGTCTGGAAATCAGGCAGAAATGAGCCCCTCCCAATGTCCAGGCACCACTGACCCCACAACCACGGTGACGAGTGGGATTCATGACAACAGTCTGCAAAGGAAGAAGCTGAGGCTCAGAGATGGGACACTACAGACCAAGGTCACATAGGCAGTGGATGAAAACCAGTCATCAAATAAGTATCAACTCCCTCCTCAGCTCCTCAAATCAAAGCGCGAACATAAGCCATTGTTCCCAAAATGTTGACCAGGAATTGAGGTGCAGAGGGACGGCCAAGGACGCAAGGGGCACGGAGGAGGCAGGAAAGACTCAGAGGTTTGTTCCTGGGGGGAGGGGGTGGACGCTGTAGCAAAAAAAAAAAAAAAAAGAGAAGTTGAGAGGGAACTATTGAAAGAAAACCCACAGTCCAGTGCCAAGAAGAAGTCAACTTTTCTTCCCCTATTTCCTGCATTTCTCTTCTGTCCTCACTGCACACGCAGCTCAGCCTGGAGGCACAGCAGTGCGAGCGTGTCTCTGCTGGTCTGAGTCTGCCTGTGGCATGGACCTGTGTCTTCCCTGAAGCATCTCCAGGGCTGGAGAGATAACTGCCATGGTAAGGACCACACAACGTGTGCTGATGGACGGGCTGAAGGAGGGAGGGAGACCTTGCGGGAGGCTGTGAGAAGGAAGGGGAAGCCTCCGCTACCCTCATCTGGAAGGGCAGACACAGGAAGCACCAGTTCTATTTGCCGCTACATCCTGGCTCTCAGTGAGACGAGGATAAACCAGACAGACAGCGGCTGGGGGTCAGGAAAGACCCCATTACAGTCTGAAATGTCTGCAGAGGGCCCGTGCCTGCCCCAACCTCAGACCTAAGAGAATGAGAGTCGGGATCCTGGGAGGTCAGTTCTGCTTCCTGTGTAGCTGCAGATGACAACACCCCAGGAGAAGGACCCAGCCTCCGAGTGTCCGCACAGGGTGGGAAGGAGGGGAGGCTATTTTTCTCTGTGTGTCTCTGTCCTGCCAGCACCGAGGGCTCCTCCATCCGCACAGCAGGGCGTTGGGAGGAGACGCCATGACCCCCATCCTCACGCTCCTGATCTGTCTCGGTGAGATTTGAAGAGGGAGGGGAGATTCTAACCTAGGAGGGACCTCACCCCACAGCCAAACTCTGGTGCATAAGGAGACCCCAGGGGCTCACAAAGATCCCAGGGAGGGGAGGACCTGGTCAGGCTTCAGGGCCAAATCTCTCACAGGGAACTCTCTTCCAGGGCTGAGTCTGGGCCCCAGGACCCACGTGCAGGCAGGTGAGTCTGTCCCCAGCTGTCCCAGTTCCCTCATCCTTAATGGGGACAAGGCGCCACCTCCGTGCAGCTGGGGACGGGGATTAGCAGTTCTGGGCTGACTGATGGGGGCGTGTGGAGGGTCCTGCAGCCAACAGCTGAGATCTGTTGCGTGGGAAATGACTTAGAATCCGATCTCTGATTTCCTTTTAGGAACCCTCCCCAAGCCCATGCTCTGGGCTGAGCCAGACCGTGTGATCACCCAGGGGAGTCCCGTGACCCTCAGGTGTCAGGGAAACCTTGAAGCCCTGGGGTACCATCTATATAGGGAGAGAAAATCAGCATCCTGGATTACATTGATACGACCAGAGCTTGTGAAGAAGGGCCAGTTCCCCATCCCATCCATCACCTGGGAACACGCAGGGCGGTATCGCTGTCAGTATTCCAGCCGCAATTCGTGGTCAGAGCCCAGCGACCCCCTGGAGCTGGTGGTGACAGGTGAGAGGACACTCAGGGGTCCCAGCCCCAGGCTCTGTCCTCAGGAAGAGGGTCGGCTCTCAGGGGCGTCTCCCTCTCCCAGCCCAGCCCTGGGGATGATGCGGGAGGTGGGAGCCCATTTAACACGGTGCCTCCTTCTCTCCCAGGAGCCTACAGCAAACCCACCCTCTCAGCCCTGCCCAGCCCTGTGGTGGCCTCAGGAGGAAGCGTGACCCTCCAGTGTGTCTCACAGGTGGCATTTGATGGCTTCACTCTGTGTAAGGAAGGAGAAGATGAACACCCACAACGCCTCAACTGCCAGTCCCACGCCCGTGGCTGGTCCTGGGCCGTCTTCTCCGTGGGCCCCGTGAGCCCGAGTCGCAGGTGGTCCTACCGGTGCTATAGTTATGACTCACGCTCTCCCTATGTGTGGTCTTTACCCAGTGATCTCCTGGAGCTCCTGGTCCCAGGTGAGAAATTCACAGCGTTGCCTGGAGCTCCCTGAGTCTCCAGGCAGGTGGGGAGGAGCCGCGTCTCAGGGCAGCGCCAGGTGGGATGATGTTGGGACGAGAGGGCTCAGGGCTCCTGGGGCCAGAGACACAGGAAGATCAGCAGTGGTGAGGCCCAGGGGGAGAGGGAGGGTTTGTGGGGAAGCCTGAGGGTCGCTCCTGGAAACCGTGACCACCTTTTCCCAGGTGTTTCTAAGAAGCCGTCACTCTCAGTGCAGCCAGGTCCTGTCGTGGCCCCTGGGGAGAAGCTGACCCTCCAGTGTGGCTCTGATGCCGGCTATGACAGATTCGTTCTATACAAGGAGGGAGAAGGTGAATTCCTCCAGCGCCCTGGTCGGCAGCCCCAGGCTGGGCTCTCCCAGGCCAACTTCACCCTGAGCCCTGTGAGGGGCTCCCACGGGGGCCAGTACAGATGCTCCGGTGCACACAACCTCTCCTCCGAGTGGTCGGCCCCCAGTGACCCCCTGGACATCCTGATCTCAGGTGAGGAGCCCAGCGGGTTCAGTCAGGGACCCAGGCTCTGCACAGGCCCTGCCGGGGGATCCTAGGTGGTAATGGCCAGGATGAGGGGCGGGGGCACCAAGGGAGGGAGAGACAGACAGAGACAGGGGATGGGTGGGGAGGGGGAGACTCAGAGAAAACAGAGACAGAGAGACTGAGGGTCCCAGAGAGAGGCCTGGGGAGGTGTCAGCTCAGATCAAGGTGGGAGCCCCTCACCCATCCGTCTTCTCTCCAGGACAGTTCTATGATGTGGTCTCCCTCTCGGTGCAGCCGGGCCCCACGGTGGCCTCAGGAGAGAACGTGACCCTGCTGTGTCAGTCACGGGCGCAGTTCCACACTTTCCTTCTGACCAAGGAGGGGCAGCCCATCCCCCGCTGCGTCTGAGATCAAGCACCAGCTCACAGCACCAGGCTGAATTCCCCATGGGTCCTGTGACCTCAGCCCACGCGGGGACCTACAGGTGCTACGGCTCACTCAGCTTCAACCCCTACCTGCTGTCTCACCCCAGTGACCCCCTGGAGCTCGTGGTCTCAGGTGAGGGCCCTGACCTTGTCCTCTCTGAGCTCAAAGGCTCAGCTCAGGTCCTGCCTCCAGGAGAGCTCTGGGCTGGGATGGAGTGAGCGGGGGTCTGAGAGGGGCTCAGCCAGAGGGGGACTCAGCCCTCAGAGGGAAGGAGGACAACAGGGCCCTCCCAGGCATGCCCACCCTCAGCGGCATCGCCAGCATCATGAACAGGAGAGGTGGGTGGAGGGAGGGGCCTGGGGAGACCACAGACCCCATGTAGAGAAATTTAGTTTGAGGGGATTCTTCAGGGAAGCCCCAGCTCCTCAGCTTCCTCTCATTATTTAACCCAGGACCCTCCGGGAGTCCCAGCCCCCCACCCACCGGTCCCACCCCCACACCTGGTGAGTCCCTCAGGCCTCTGGGCTCGGAGGGAGCACGGCCTCCCCCACATTTCCCAGAGTCCCAGAGTCCCCTCAGGGACTCAAGCTCGGCCTTCCATCTTGGGAGCTGGGCAGAGCCAGAGGAGGGGCCACAGGCTCCCAGGGGCTCTGAGGCTGGGCCGGTGAAGGGTGGGGTCGAGGCAGAGGGAGGTGTTGGGGCCCAGCCTGGGGGAGGAGCAGCCGGGCTGACGTGGGGAGCAGGGCAGCCCCAGCCCTCACCTTCCCATCCTGACCCAGCAGGCCCTGAGGACCAGTCCCTCAACCCCACGGGGTCGGCCCCCCAGAGTGGTGAGTGGGGGCTCTGAGAGGAGGGTGGGCGGGGTCCGGGGGAGGCAGAGGTCGGTTCTGTCCTAGGTTCAGGCTCCTCTGGAGATGGTGACGTGGACAGGCCCCTCCGCTGCCTGGGCCTCAGTTTCTCCAGGTGTAAAGGAGAGAGGCCTGCGGGTGGGAACATTCCTTTCAGCTCTGACTCCCAGCTCTGACCTCCTGGGAGAGGAGGCCTCCCAGGGAAGCCTCCCAGACCCGATTCCGCAGGGGCCTGTCCTGTCCCACCTGCAGCAGTGACGGTGACCTGGGGCAGGGGAGGGGAGCAGGGCTGTGGTTCAGGACGGTCAGGCTCTTTCCCTGCAGCTCCAGGGCTCAGCTCTGGTGCAGGGAACAAGGGCTGCGGGTCAGAGTCCCGGGTTCACTTCCCAGCTCTGCCGCTTCCCGGCTGGGGGTCCTGGGGCAGGCAATTCCCATCTCTGAGCCTCAGTTTTCCATCTGTAAGGTGGGTGGGTTGTGTTTCCATTCCGTGCTGTACGACTGTTGTGGGGGTTGGAGGTGGTGAACAGAATGTCCAGCACACAGTAGGAGCTCATGTCAATGACATCACCCCCATTTCTGATGTCATCATGCTCAAGGTCTGGGAAGGCACCTGGGGGTTGTGACTGGCGTCTTGGTGGCCTTCGTCCTGTTGCTCTTCCTCCTCCTCCTCCTCTTCCTTGTCCTCCGACATCGACGTCAGGGCAAACGTTGGACATCGGGTGAGTAGGGAAGGGGAGACCCTGTGGGCCGACCGAGGGTGGGCTCAGGGTGTAGCCAAAGAGAATCCAAACCACTGGGCAAATGCAGCTTTGAGGAACTGTTCCAGCATTTTTCACCAGGCGAATGGAAAAAGCACTTAATGTCAGTCCCATCTACAAATGTAAAGTGTCCTTCGGGCTCTGTCCATCTCATGGGGCATTTGGAACACGGAGGCAGGAGTGTTTTCCGGTTTCCTTCCTTACGTTCGAGCTGTGTGTGGGGGGCAGGGGGACTCCAATGTTCCCAGGGCTGAGGCTCTGTCCTTCTTCCCCCAGCCCAGAGAAAGGCTGATTTCCAACATCCTGCAGGGGCTGTGGAGCCTGAGCCCAGAGACAGAGGCCTTCAGAGGAGGTAATTCTGCCCGAAGACCCCAGACTCCCACCGGCCCCCGTACACTGCCCCTAAAGCTCCCGTTCCTCCCCCAGGTCCAGCCCAGCTGCTGACACCCAGGAAGAAAACCTCTGTGAGTGACAGGAAGAGGCGACCAGCCAGGAGGAGATGGGGGAGGCGACCAGCCAGGAGGAGATGGGGGAGGCGACCAGCCAGGAGGAGATGGGGGCCCCAAAGTTTCTGTAGCAATGGGGAAAGGGGCACAGGCTGGAAAGGGTCTGGGGTTCAGGGTGAGATGATCTCACCCCACACTGTGGGACCTCGGGAACATCACAGCCCCTCCCTCATCGCAGTGGCCCCGTCTGGGAGCTGGGCAGTGGCCCACAGGACTCAGAGGTCTCAGGGAACCTTCCCAGGAGACAAACCCCTTGCTCTGCCCCAGCAGATGCTGCCGTGAAGGACACACAGCCTGAGGACGGGGTGGAGCTGGACAGTCAGGTGAGACCCTGCCCCTGTCCCGGGCACCAAAGGCCTCCTGGTGCCAGATCTAATCCTGCAGGACTTCTCCGTCCTCCTTCCCCTGGCTCTCAGCATCGTCAGGGGTGGACCCCTCCTTGTCCAGCTGCCTCCCGCCTGCTGTGACCTCACTCTCTCCTGCTGTCCTGGGACCTCACGGGCCTCCTTCTGGGTCCCCTTCCCGCTCCTCCTCCTCTGTTTGGCCATCTGGTGGTTAGAGCGCTCCCCAGGCCTCAGGAGGATGAGGAATAGATGAACCACCCCGGTCCCCTGGGCTCCGCTTCATTCATTCATCCAGCGAGTGTTCCCAGGGAGCTCACTGTGGATCGGGCTCCCTGTGGGAGCTGCAGACACAGCAGGGGCAGAGCCGTCCCCGCCTCCGGAGCTCACCTCGTGGTGGGAGACAAAATGCAAATAAATGCAGTGTCCAGCAGTGCAACGTGCTGTAAGAAACATAAACCAGGGAAAGGGCAGAGTGTGGGGCAGTGGGGCCAGTCTGAATGTAAGGGGAGGGCTGTCTGCTCAGCTGTCATCTGAGAAGCCTGGACGGAGGGGGCCACAGGATCCTCTAATGGACGAGCCCCTGCAGGCAGAAGAAACAGCCGTGCAAAGGCCCCGAGGCAGCAGCGAGCTCTTGCAGGAAGGCCGTGTGAGGCTGCAGCCAAATGGGCAAGGTCAGAGTGAGGAGGAGAGGCCAGAACCACAGGGAGGGAGCGGCCAGACCCTCCACGGCCTTCGGGCGTCCCTGAGATTCCATCAGGAAAGGGATGTAGTCGAATCATCCTGGGAACAGTGAAGAAAATTGACTCCAGGGGGTCACGGGGACTCAAGGACACCCCCCACCAGTGTCTTTCTCCAGCAGAGCCCACACGATGAAGACCCCCAGGCAGTGACGTATGCCCGGGTGAAACACTCCGGACCTAGGAGAGAAATGGCCTCCCCTCCCTCCCCACTGTCCGAGGAATTCCTGGACACAAAGGACACACAGGCGGAAGAGGACAGGCAGAGGGACACTGAGGTGAGTCCTTTCCTCTCCAGGCCCCCAGGCCTCCCCCACCCCCACCACGTTCCTTCCCTCTCACTCTCCCCCACTGCAGGCTGCTGCATCTGAAGACCCCCAGGATGTGACCTATGCCCAGCTGCAGAGCTTGACCCTCAGACGGGAGGCAACTGAGCCTCCTCCAACCCAGGAAAGGGAACCTCCAGCTGAGCCCAGCGTCTACGCCACCCTGGCCATCCACTAGCCCGGAGGGGACCCAGACCCCACACTCAGCAGAAGGAGACTCGGGACTGCTGAAGGCACGGGAGCTGCCCCCAGTGGACAGCAATGAACCTCAGTCAGCCTGGACCTCTGGGAACTTTGGGAATCGCTTGATTCTGTAGTCTAAATAACTAATATCCCTACATTTTTAAATTAAACAACAGACTTCTCAATAATCAATGAGTTAACTGAGAAAACTAAAATCAGAAGTAAGAATGTGCTTGAAACTGAATCACAATATAAATATTACACACCACACAATGAAATGGAAAAACTACAAACCACAAATGAAAAAAGTAGAAAAGAAAAAACAAAACACTAGGAAATGAACGACGTTGGCTTTCGTATCAGGAATTTAGAAAAAGAATAACAAATTATCCCAAATGAAGGTGTGAGAAAGGGAATAATAAGAAAAAGCAGAGTTGCTCATGAGGAAACACCAAAACGTGAAAATTCCACAAAGCCAGTGAAGCTGATTCTTGAAAATATTAATTACACTCATAAATCCTAACTACATTGAGCAAGAAAAAGAAAGAGCAGGCACGCATTTCCATGTGGGCGCGAAGAAGCAGACAGCCCGGCAGACCCTACACACATTTTCAAAAACTAACAACAGAACAGGGTGCAAACCTATGCCAATATACTAGAAAATGCAGATTAAATAGATGAAATATTCAAAACTGGAGTTTACTTAATGAACGTAAGAGTGATCAGCGAATCTGACTCATTTTAGATGTGTGTGTGTGAGTGTGAAATATACTGACTAATAAAAATGTTCCCATGGTATAAACTCCAGTTCACGAAGCTTCATTGGTGATTTTTTTACAAATATTGACACACTAATGAAACGCACAAACACACCCAGAGCGTCACAAATGTTTCTTGAGAATAGAAAAAGAGGCAATGTGCCTGGGTGCGGTGGCTCACGCCTGAAATCTCAACACATAGAGAGGCAGAGGCGGCAGATTACTTGAGGCCGGGAGTTCAAGACCAGCCTGGCCAACATGGTAAAAGCCCATCTCTTACTAAAAATACAAAAATTAGCCAGACATGGTGGCTAACGCTGCAATCCCAGCTACTGGGGAGGCAGAGGCAGGAGAATCATTTGATCCCAGGAGGTGGAGGTTGCAGTGAGCTCAGATCCCACCCCTGCACTCCAGCTTGGTCCATAGAGCCAGACTCTGTCTCAAAAAATTAAAAAAATAAAAAAGTCATCACATATAAAATGGAATTTTCCATTCTATAAAAGGCACGTTTTAAACTCTACAGTTTTTTTATTTCAAAATAATATTTTTATTTTGTTTTAACGTTTTACTTTATTTTATTTGGCAATTTAAAAGTCTACATATTGAGGGTGTACAACATGATATTTTAGTATATATGAATACCCTGTGAAATCAGTAGGTCAAGTTAATTAACATATCTGTAATATCACGTAGTTATCTTTTTGTTAAGAGAACATTTAAAATCTACTTTTTTTTTTTATTTGAGACGAAGTTTCACTCCTGTTGCCCAGGCTGGAGTGCAGTGGCACAATCTCAGCTCACCGCAACCTCCACCTCCCAGGTTCAAGCAATTCTCCTGCCCCAGCCCCCCGAGTAGCTGGAATTACAGGCATGCACCATCACACCCGGCTAATTTTGTATTTTTAGTAGAGACGGGGTTTGTCCATGTTGGTCAGGCTGGTCTTGAACTCCTGACCTCGTGATTCACTCACCTTGGCCTCCCAGAGTGCTAGGATTATAGGTGTGAGCCACAGCGCTCGGCCCTAAAATCTACTTTCTTACCAATGTTCGCGTATACAATCCATTGTGAGCAACTGTAGTCACCGTATTGTACAACAGATCTGCTAAACTCACTCCTCCTGTCTAACTGAAACCTGGTATCCTTCCATGCAGCTCTCTGATTCCACCCCCGCCCCCTCAGCTCCCAGGAACCACCTTCAACTCTCTAATTCCATGAGTTGAACTGGGGCAATCCACACGTAAGTGAGATCAGGCAGCAGGGGTCTTCCTGTGTCTTCTTTACTCCACATAGCGTGATGTCCTCGAGGCTCATCCATGT